GCCGGCCAGTCACAGGAGGACACGCGGGCGTGACCTCACTTCCATGTGGGCAGCCACGTATATCCACGCAGCCGAGCTCGTGGTGGGAGGGGCGGGACGGCGGCACCAGGGACCGGCCGCAGCGTGTGGGCCAGTGGGTGGGGGGCGGCTGTGGGGTGGGCTGGGCGCCGCGGTGGAGACAGGGGACCCCGCAATGGACATTTGCCCAGAGTTGGGAACCGGTCGGGGCCGTCCCCGCACGCAGACGGAGACCCTCCCCCACAGCAGGCGCGCCTGCCAATCAGCTCCGCTGCGGCCGTGGTCTCGCGCTGCGGTGCGTCTCGGAACAGCCCCTCGCGCCTCTCCAGCGCGCCGGTGTCTCTCTGGGAACCCTGTGGGAATCCAGCGGAAACAGGGACGCGCAGACAAAGAGCAGCTCCCACTCCGACGGCTGTTCCCCCGCACGCTGCCATTTCCATCCGTTCACGTGAACGTTTTTCTCTTTGGTCGTCGCCCACCTTGCACCTGGAAAGGACACTCTCAAATCCACCTGTTTAGCATTAAAAATGCTTCCTTCTTGTCGCTATTTGGAGATTCTGATTTCAGAACCCGCCTCTCTGGAGATCTGTCCTTTGTCATCACCACTGACCGCGGCCGTCCTCGCTTTACTTCCGTCTCCGTGAAAACGCGCTCCAGCCCGCGCCGACCCCGGCTCCCGAGGCGGCCGGTTCCCCGCTGGGTCAGGGCGCCAGGGAGAGGCAACCCGAGGGCGAGTCTCGTTAATGTCTCCCTCTCCACCCCCCCCCCGACCCCGTTCCCTCTCGCTCTGAAACAAAACGTATCCTCACGTGGACATTTAAAACATTAGGGACCAAAAGGAGCTTCGGCCGAACTCACATCGGACTCGGTCCTCGACGGCACTTGCTCTGTCTTAGCCCAGGACGCCGTCCTTCTTTGTCAGCTGTGAGGGGTCACGTAAACACGTCTGCCAGCAGTCTGATGCCGTTCAAACTCTCCTAAAGCCCGTGTTCTCATTTCTTCAATTTTGCTTAAATTCTCGTTTGCTTTGTCTTGTCTCAAACACACCCCTCATTTCTGGATAAACAGTCCCCTCTGAAGTGGAGTCTGCATCTTGTTCTGTTTTCTGTTCCTAACGACTCAAACACCCAGCGTCCGGAGGTCCGGTTCTGCCGCTTTCCCCTCCACCGGTCCCCAGCTGCGGGGGCGCCCCTGTGAGTTCTGGGGTGCACGGCTGGGCCCTGGTCACCGGCGGTCTGTCTGTGGAATTCACTGAATCCCTCAAGGGGAGTCACGTTTGTTTCTATGGGCGCTTTCCTGCACGACCGACCCGGTTGGCCTTGAGCTAACCGCCAGCCCGCAGCGTGTGGTCGGTGTGCACAGGGCCCGTCTCGGCCCACAGGGGTGGGGGGGGACCCTCGGGCTGCTCTGACACTGCCCTGAGGCAGACAGGGTTCCTCACCGTCCGACTTACTGTGCGCATTTCTTCCCAGTCTGATCGTTTCCCTTAGATGGTGGCCCTTCCAGAACGTTCACCTTACTCTAGGGTGTCTGGTCTGACCCAGGCTCTGCACTGCCCACCCCCTCAGTGCAGCTGGGAGGTCGCAGACCGGGGCTCCTGGCTCCCTTCATGCTGACCTCCTCAGAATCGAGGTTCTGCTTAATTCTTAGTTTTAAAGCATTTCCTTATCTTCTTGAAAACTTTTTGTGCATTGACGTGATTATTTTCTTTCAAGAATTTTAGATTTTTTAATGGGGAAATTACAGAACGTTAGTTTCCAATATCAACAGAAAATACTGAATATTGATTCCAGGGCTGAATTGGGATCTTATGCGTAATATCACAAGACTATTCTATAACTGAAGTGAAACTTGAACAAAATATAAAGCCACATTTCTCAGATTTTATGATTTGTCTTAACACCTTTTCTAAACAACGTGCTTAGAAAACTTTTTTTTTAAGATTTTATTTATTGTTAGAGAGGGAAGGGAGGGAGAAAGAGAGAGAGAAACATCCATGTGCGGTTGCTGGGGGCCGTGGCCTGCAACCCAGGCATGTGCCCTGACTGGGAATCGAACCTGCGACACTTTGGTTCCCAGCCTGCGCTCAATCCACTGAGCTACGCCAGCCAGGGCAGAAAACTTTCATAATTGTCCTCAGTTTTCTGTCTCCAAAAACCTAAACTTGATTACCCTTTAGGGCTTTTTAATATTTACCCTAATTTTGCTCCTTTACTACACGATTTGACGATAACGGGTATAAATAAAGCTCCAGCACGGAGAAGCCCGCCGCGCCCGCACCGACACGGACGGGTGGAGGCTGCGTGGGACGCGTCGGCGAGAGCCGCCGGTGAGGAAGGCTGGCTGCTGGGCCGTCGGAGGACAGTCACACTGCAGGGAGTTTCCTGAGCTACCGACAAACCTCCTTCGTGTCCTAAGAGCGATAAAACACGGATAAAACCATGACATTTTACTCCCCCAAAACCCTCTCTCCAGAAAAAAATAAAATCTGTCAGTCGGCACGTAATGCCACAAAGGTTGAGCCGTAGCCATTCGCAGACGCCCCTAAAACAAGGGCATCGCCTCCCCGGAGTCCAGTGACGCCGAGTGGAGTCGGGTCGGCCGCGTCCCCGCCGACACCGGAGGGACGGCCACCCCCCCCCCACCCACTGCGCCTTGTGTCCGAGCAGCGGGCCGTTCTCCTGTCATCACGGACCTGAGGGCTGCGACAGCAGGGCCTGCCCGCCTGGCCCTCGGTCCTGCGGCCAGCGCGCGGGGGGCCAGCGGGGCCTGACACGCAGTCGGTGCTCCGTCCGTGCGCGGAAATCCTGCGTGGCTGAATCAGGACACGGTCCCGCTCGCCCCGACCCACGTCGCGCCTGAAGCTCCGCCACCCTGTCGGACCTCAAACCTCCCTTCACACAGAGTGTTCGGCAACGTCCTACAGAATATTCGGGACCGACAGTCACAGACGGTGTAGAGAGTCGTCTGGAGACACCAGTGCCACGCCTGACTCACCAGGGACAGGCGGAAGAAAAGTCAGGCAGTCAAAGCAGCACCTGTTTCGTGATGTGGCCGAGTAAGGACGCCCACAGCGGGAGACAGAAAAAACCGTCGGAAGCCCCCTTCGCACTGAACCCAGGGGCAGAGACCGGCCGATGCAGGCGTCGGATCTGTGACTCCAGCTCCTCGGCGACGGTCGTCACGGGCGCCTGCGCTTTTAAAATGACGGGTGACTGAACAGGGTAGGTTCCAGAGGAAACGAGATGCAGCTCCGGCGCGGCGTCCCGGTTGCCGCGCTCCGGGGCCTCGCTGCGCGCTCGCGGGACCCCTCTGGGCTCACACGGGGAGCGGAGCAGAGCTCGCCGCTCGTGAGAACCGCAGGGGGGCGCTCCGTCCCCGCCGGGACCCGCTTCTGAGCCGAGTCCGCGGGCCCCGCCCACTCGGACGGGGCGCCCGCCTCGCGCGCTGCACGCGCCGCGCGCCGTGCTCCCGCGGCTCCCACGTGCGGAGGGAGGGGGAGGGGGCCCTCCCCGAGCTGGTTCTCCACGAGCCCCCACGTCCTGGCTGATGGGAGAGCAAAGGACTGGAGAGGAAGCGTCAGCCGCAAACCCCCGGCCCCCCGAGCACAGAGGGGGGACGGGACCCGAGTCCGGGGAGAGGGGCTGGGCGCCGGTCACCGCAGGGCGGGCGGGCGGGCCCCGCGGGGGGCGGGGGGCTTCCCTGAGCACCTCCGTCCTGGGGCTGAGAAAAGCCTGCTCCTGCCCAGGACACTGAGCACACAGGGCCCCGTGGCCCCCCACAGTGACACCCCCCACCCCGTTCCTCAGGGGGCGTCTCGCCCGCTCGGGTGGGACCGAGCAGGCAACACCACCACCTCCAGCAAAGACAGGCAGGTGTGGCCAGACCGCCCGTGCTGAAGGCGAGTGGTTCCCGTGTTTCTGGGTGGAACGAGTGGGCTCCTTCGGCCTGGGGGGGAGGCGGGGACAGGATCGCCCCGGCTCCCGGTCTGCGGGGCCTGGGAGGAGGGAGCTTTGCAGAGGGCAACGTCCCTCTCTCCGCAGGGGCTCCCCTGCCGTGAGGACCTGCTGCGTCTCCTGGGGGTTCCATCCTCGAAATGCTTTCCTCGCATCAGGGTGGAAAAGAGAAAGGGGGTGTCTGCTTCCCACATGGGGTGACTCCCCCCATCTCTGGGCGACGGCAGGGGGGTGCCGCCAGGGATGACATGTGACTCTTGACCTTGGCCACAGGGTCCATCCCACTCCGCTGGCTTTGGGACCCTCACAGGGGCCGCATTCCGCTGTCGGCCTGGTCCCCTTCCGGCGAGACGTGTCCTGCCCCCCGTGTTGACCGGGGAGCAGGGGGGATGGACAAGCTGAGCTCAGCTTGTTGGAGGTTGGCCCACCTGCCAGCCCGCCGCCCGCTCCGGGGGCCGCGCCCCTGTGTCGTCCGGCGAACCAGAGACAGAGAAGCCTGAGGACCTCAAACCCAACTCCCGCCCCTGAAAGTTTTCTTTTATCTGAATCTAACGAGCTGCACGGCTCAATCCAAAGGGCACTCTTCACGCTGCCCACACTAATGGACTCTGCGTTCTGGCCGTGATGAACGTGCCGTGTGCCAGGCGGTCGCCGAAGCAGCGTTCGGCGAAGGTGCGTGGCCTGCACGGCGCCCGCCGGCGAGAGGGCGTGGCTTGGACGAAACCGCGACGACCGACCGGTGACTCCCATCGGCAGGAGCCCTTCTCTCTCGGCGCCCCCGCTCCGGAGCTCGGGAAGAAACTCTGAAATCGGAACACTTCTTGCTTGGGACTCCACCTGTGTAAGTCATCACCTGCTTTCACGGAAGCTTTGAAACGAATACCTGAACATTTCTCCACACGCAGAGCTTGTGTTAAAAGCAGAGGAGATTATAAATACAGGACAGGCAAGCTGGCCGGGAGGAAGGGGATGAGTCACCGGAGCCACGGCGCTCTCCGACGGCCGGCACAGAGCCGCCCGGGTTTCGGCGGCAGCAGTGGGGCGAGCGCCTGCCTTCCAGGGTTTCCAGACAGGAAGTTTCCGGCTCTGTAATTACCGTTGCACAATGGAGGCTCTGCCACTAATCACAGCGTTGCCGGGACAGTCGCACCGTGAGAAACACTGGCGTGGAAGGCAGGGCTTCTCCACACACCTGCAGCCGCCTCCTCGCCGGCCGGGAGCAGCTCTCCAACTGCAGGCACTCCGAGCGGAGACAGTGGCAGCACGCACCGACGGCAGCAGTCCGGCCGGGCGCGGCGTGACGGGCGGTGGCCGCGGGGGAACGCCGTGTGTGTCTTCTGTAGACCCAGGGGCCTCCTCCGCCCGCAGACCGCGAGCAGCTTCCAGCCGGACCCGTCCGCAAGGTCACGGCCATGGCGTCCTACCCCCTGCAGATCGCCGGGCTGGTGCTGGGGCTCCTGGGCCTGGCCGGGGCCCTGGGGGCCACGCTGCTGCCCCAGTGGCGAGTGTCGGCCTTCGTGGGCAACAACATCCTCGTCTTCGAGAGGCTCTGGGAGGGGCTGTGGATGAGCTGCGTCCGGCAGGCCACGGCCACGCTGCAGTGCAAGCGCTACGGCTCCCTGCTGGCCCTGCCGCCCACGCTCCAGGCCGCCCGGGCCCTCATGTGCGTGGCCGTGGGGCTCTCCCTGCTGGCCCTGCCGCTGGGCGCCTGCGGCCTGAGGGGCGTCCAGTGCGCCGGCTCGAGCGGGCGGGCCAAGGCCCACCTCCTGGGCGAGTCGGGGGTCCTCTTCCTCCTGGCGGGCGTGTCCGTCCTGATCCCGGTGAGCTGGACGGCCAACGCCATCATCGGAGACTTCCGCAGCCCGGCCGTGCACGCGGCTCAGAAGCGGGAGCTGGGGGCCGCCCTCTTCCTGGGCTGGGCGGGCGCCGCCGCGCTCTTCCTCGCAGGGGGGCTGCTCTGCGGGGCCTGCTGCTGCCGCTGCCGCAGGAAGGGGCAGAGGCACCGCTGTCCGGCCCCCAGGCCCCGCCTGCCGCACGCCGACCAGCGGAGGAACCAGCCCGCGGCCCGCCGGGCCTCCGCCAGCTACGTCTGACCCTGCGAGGGCTCCGACTCGGACCGCGGCCGGCGCGTTTCCGACGGTTCTGCCAGGAGCTGTGAGTGCCGAGACCCGGCTCCGCGCCTGCCCCGGAGCTGAGGCCGTCACGGGCACGCGCCCGGCAGTGTGTCCCGGGGTGGGGGAGGGGACAGGCTCGCGCTGGGCACCCTGACGGCCGGCATGAAAGGCCTTCACCGGGACTGGACTCGGACACACCCTCTTCCAGCCCGTGTGGCCCGGACTCCGGCCGGTCCACAGGCTTGGTGTCGCGAGGGGCTTTTCTGGACAGTCACATACCCCTCACTCAGCAACCCAACGACGTCTCAGTGAACGGTGCGTGGCAATAAAAGGTTCTAAAACGTGGCCTGGAATTTTTCCTCTGTGTTGTTTCTCATTCTAACAACTAAGACGATGGCTCTCTCTGTTCCAGCCATTCATCTGGAGAAATAATGGACCTCAAGCCGGGATTTTAGTTGAGTTTATGAAAACAGGGAAATGCCCGCGGGGCGGAAGGGTCTGCCGTTCCTCCAGAGAGCGAGTGCACCGGCCATCAGACGCGGCCAGGGAAGAGGCGCTCTCATTTATTTCAGGGTATTTCGCAAGACGCATTTCAAAGGATTTAGTTGACACAGCAACGCTTGCTTACAGTTGCGTGTTCAGGAACAGTTCAGGAACGAGAAGGGATGTGCTTTCCTGGCCCGTGGTTTCCACCCACGGGCAAACGGAGGGGCCCGCCCGGACGGGGCCCGCCGGGGCCGGGGGGAGCCTGCCGCCCTCGGCCTCGGTGAGAGGAGACTCGGCCCCCGCCGGAGGACCGGGGGTTAGTTTTGGGGGGGGGCGAGGGACGGTCCCCATTCCGTGTTCTGCTCGCTCGCCCTGCAGCTCGCCCACACACGCCATGTCGTGCAAAGGCTCCGAGTCGTGAATCAGGCGATCAGTCAGGCTAGAACGAGAGCCTTCCTTCTGTTCTCCAATAAACGGGCGGGCAGGGCGGAAGCACTTTGTTTTCTTGGGTTGTAAGCATCGATTCCCCAGCCTGCCTTCCCAGGCACACGGGCCGGGTCAGGGGTCCGCGTGTGCGGCGTGGAGGGGGGGGAGAGGACACAGGGGCCGCGTGTGAGCGTCTCCGATGCACTGTGCCCCCACCCATGTTCGCGTGCTCGGTTTCACCGCTTCCAGCGTCCTGTTTGTTTTGCAACAGACTGTGTTTAATTTGTAGCACGTGACGGCAACGAACAGATTAAATGTGTTCACCACCCGTTGACTGTCTGTCCGTCCTCATCTCAACCAAAGGAAACAGCTGCCTGACTCCGGCAGCACGGACTGCCCCGCGGGGCCAGTTTCAGGAGGAGGGTCCGTCCCCAGAGACCGCGGGGAGTCGCCGGCCCGCATGTCAGACTCAGCTGACGGCGAGATGGAGGCACAGAGCTGCCTCCTTCCTCCCCGTCACCAGAGGGGAGCCTGGCGGGGACCGAGTTACTGGGGCACCGATGCCACAGCAGATGTCAGCGTCCTCGGGAGAGACCGCGGCCGATCTGATTTCTCCTGAGACGGCTCCTCCTTCAGACAGGCCTGCGCATCCGGTGTGTCGAAAAGGAACCGTTTATCCCACACGGACACACGGCAGGAGGCCCACAGACGGCACACGTGTGTCTCCCCGTGGGTCCCCCGGGGGAAGTCATGCGCCCGGTGGGACAGTCCGGGGCCCAGCCGGCGGCCGAGGCACCAAACCCGGGCAATCACAGCGTCGCCGGGGCGGCACCGGGCCCGACGGCGGGCCGTCTCAGAACCTGAGGCTCTGCCGCTTGCTCTCTCGTCCGCCAGGGCGCACTTCCAGGGAAGATTATTTTCAGTTCTCCGCCCTGGCGCCCTGTGTTCCCCAGGACACCAGAAAAGGAGGTTTAATACCTTTTAACTAACTCACTTCAAGATGCACTGTGGTTGTCAATGTCCGATGTGTAGGAAAGGCATCGCTATTTTCTGAAATTTGGCTAAATTCAACGTCTGGGGTACCATGCGAGGAACACCCAGCTCCCGGGTCTCACGCGGAGGTCAGCGGTGTTCGGGGTGGCGGCTCCAGGCGGCGGCCCCTGGTCCTCAGGCCGTGCAGGCTGCCGAGAAAACACCTACTGGAAAAGGAGACTTCACCGCCCGTGGCCCTGCTGTCCCCTCAACGGAGATGGCGGCCCGGAAACCGGAGCAGCTGGGCCCGGAGGGGCCTCGGCGGGAGAACCGGGGAAGCTCTCCGAGAGCACAGACATGTCCCTGGAGACTGAGGCTGAGACCCCGCCCCGCCCCCGTCTCCCCAGCTCCCACGTGTGGATGGGAAGGCTGGGCGGCGAGGACGGCAGATGGGGAGCCGCCCCATGGGAGGTGAGCGCCATGGGGGGGACCCTGGGCTCCAGGCAGAGCAGCGAGTGGGTCCCCGAGCAGAGGAGCCTCGAGGTTGCTGGAGGCAAGAGGGACAACGCCACGGTGACCTGCTGCAGACTCGTCCCGAGGAAGCAGGGTCTTTGGAAAGACGGGGACGCTGGGGACACGGACAGGGACACACCTTAAGGACGGTTTTGGGTTTTAGCCTGAAAGGCCTAAATTTTGAGGAGCTGGCGGGCGAAGCTCAAAATGGCTCAGTCAGAAGCCGTTTCCTTCTGACTTTCAGGGCGAGGAAGCGGTTTCTCTGGACAGAGGTAGTGCATAGATGGGAAGAGGTGGGAGGGTCAGACGTCCGTGGGTCCTGGGGAAGGACCCCGAGGAACGGGGCCCAGAGCAGTGGCAGAGCTGAGGCAGGTGTGAGGACGCCAGGGCAGACGTGACCCGCGCCCGGAGCGGCCGCCGCCCAGGACCCCCGACAGCCGACAGTCGTCACGGCGTGGGGGGCGGGGGCAGCCCCTGGTGTGTCTAGTCGGACAGGCCCAGGGCCTGTGGGGCAAGGTCGCCCGCGGCCAGGGCACCGTGGGAGCAGAGCGGCGCTTCCCAGCCCACGGAGCGCGGCACAGGGCACCCAGGGGGCCCGTCTCTGCGGCTCAGGGAACGGCGGCCACACCCCTCGACGGCCAAGTGCATGGGCGCCGGGCGCAGCCACAGTGAGCGGGAAGCGGCGGCTGTGTGTGCAGAGAGGGGGCTGACCCCAGGCCCGTTCCCCGTCTCCCAGCTCGTCTCTGCGAGCCACGTCGGTGACCGCGGCCCCCTCCCCTGAGAAACGCGTCCCGAGCAACCTCACCACGGGGGTGGCCGCAGGGGCGGGTGACGGCCGGTAAACTGACGCTGGACCCGGAGACGGCGGACGCCTCCCCGGAGGACAGGTGCACGGGCAGGTAGACGACAGGTGCACAGGCAGGTAGACGCCAGGTGCACGGGCAGGCAGCTCAGAGAGACAGACGACACTCAGAGGTGGAGACAGTGCACGTGCACAGGGGGCGGGTAAAGGTGGGTGAGCACGTGGGCAGAGAGACAGTCGGGTTGGTAGACGTGACAGATGGCTGGACGGACAGAGAGCCGTGACGGACAGCCAGACAGATGGACGGGAGATGTCATCTGTGCTGCCATGAGCCCTGGGCCCGGACAGGGGGCCAGACAGACGGCTCGTTCCCAGAGCGAACAAGGGAGGCCCCCCCCGCCCCCACTCCACACGGGAGGCCGTGGTCTTCGGGTCTCCGCTCCCGGCCTCGCTGCCGTGTCTGTTATTCTAGTTTCCCAACGGAGCAAACACTCCCCTCCCCGTGAGCACCTGCGTTACAGCAGCTCCGTCCGCGGCGGCTGCACGGGGTCTCTGCCGCGGGACCCAGCGGCCGGCCCGCCCGCCCGCAGCGGCAGTTAGTGCGGCTCCGGCCTGCGGGGGCAGCGACGAACGAGACCCCAGCGGGGGCAGCAGGTCACCAGACGGAGGTGACCGCGCCCCGCCCAGCGCCTGGAACCTGCCCCCGAGCCAGAGGTGCCCGACCTGGGCCCAGGGAGCCGGGCTCCCTGCGGGGTGGAGCATGGGCGTCAGCTGGGCACACGCCACCCCCAGCACGCGGGGCGCCTGGGCTGGTTCTGGCGGGGGCGGGGGGCAGACAGGAATCCGTCACGGAGACTCGGAGAAGGAAGCGGGGAAGGACCCCAGGAGGCAGGGCTGTGCGTCGGGAGAGGTCAGGGCGCAGCCAGGAGCCGCAGGAACGGGCGCCGGGGCCAGAGGGTCCTGAGCCTCGCTGGGAGGGAGGCCAGGACCCGCCCCTTCCGTGCAGACTGGGCCTCGGTCTCCTCACCCACAAAATGGGGAGCAGGAACAGCATTTTTCAGCACATGCGACATGCTCATAACTAGAATCAAGACCCATGTATTTAAACTTAATTCTTCTTATCTTTCTTTCACAGGTTGAGAAACAGGTGCACAAAGGGGTTCCATCGTCTTCCCAAGGACACACCGAGGTCACCGCCCCCCCAGCCCCAAATCAACGTGTCTTGAGAGACGGCACCCTCCTCCCCGGCCCCGTCCACGCGGGGAACAGGCCCTCTCTCCGTCTGGAAGCGTGGGCCGCTCCGCAGAGAAAACGCGTTCTAATCACAGGGCATTATGCAAATGCGGCCGTAATCACTGCCATTATCTCCCGGGCAGCAGCGGCAACGCAGGCCTGGGCTCTCCACGGAGCCTCGCTCTCTCCGCCCACGGATCAGCTCGCTCCTGTGTCCCGTCGGCCTCGGGCCCGAGCAGAAACAACACCTGGTTGTTTCCCCAGGTTTCCCGTCTCACCCACTCCCCCCACCCTCTCGAGTGCCAGTGTGTGTCGCCTCCAAGGACACCGGTAACTGTCACCCGCGGCACAGCCCCTGTCCTCCCGGAGTCGGATTAGCAGCAGCCTCCTTTTCCGTAAAGCGCCTGGGTGTGGGTGACACCCCCGGCCGGGGCCCCCAGCCTTGCTCACTGCGCCCCACACCTGCCCAGGCCCTGTCCCTGCTGTGCGCACACGCCCCGGCGGGACCTGAGGGCCGTGGGCTCAGCGCCCCGGGCAGACCCGCCGCCCCTCCGCACCCTGGCGGGGCCCTCCCTCCGTGCTTCCCGGGCCCGGGCCTCTGCTGCTCCTGGTCCCGAACTTCACCTCCCGCACCCTTTCCTCCCCCCGCTCCGCGTCCCCCCTTCACAGCCCGGGAGCACCACTCGGGGCGCGCAGAACCGGGCTCCACCCCTGCCGCGCGTCAGTCATCGAAACACCTGCTCGCTCCGCACCTGGGTCCGCCCCAGGTGCCCCTCTGAGCCGGGGGGTTGCCACAGCCTGGTCCCCGTCTCTGCTTTGCCGACCGACAGTGCCCACCAGCCCCCACTCTCCCCCCACTGAGTGCGGACGCTGGCCCCCCCGGGCCTGGGGTCAGGTCCGGCCTG